CAGAATGCTCCCAGGCTTAACAGCATCATGCAGCTTTGCTTGATAAGGCTCAGATACTCAGTCCTTTGCAGGATCAAATCCATTACTTAAAATTGAATCAGGGTTACCAAGAACCAAATGGAAATAGTATTGTTTCCCAGGACACAGCAGATCTTTCACAATGTACTGGGGTGCATGTTTTTTGTCTCAACTCAGCTGTGAACAATAGAAAACTCTCTGCTTTTATTAAAAACTTTGAGGGATTATTATTTTAGTTAAGCCTTTAAGAATTCATACCTATCTGGAAAGGGCAGATTGTGTAATGTGCTTCCTGTTTTCATCATAGCTGAATACTGCTTTTTGCTGTTGCCTGTTATTACCCAGTTAATATGAACTGCTAGAAGTTTATTTTTAGCTCACTTGAGCCTATTGTAAGGTCTGTTCAAGAACTTCCAACCAGAAATTAGATGCAGAAAACTGCATCTAATGCTGAGTTTAGGAATATATTCCCAAATCCTTTTAAACAGCCAAGACACAAAGTGAAAATAGATAATGAATAGTTGTTGAATATTAGCAATCTGTTCAACTCAAAGATTACATTTTATTTTCAAATTATATCCTTAATTTCTGAAGTAAGTATTTATTTGATAAAAAAGTCATGCTCTGTTCATTTGATTGCCAATTAAAACAGGGGAGATGAATAAATATTTGCCAAAATGAGCAGAGGAGTATTTTTATTTGAGGAAAAATGTGTAATTATCTAAATGTCTTGAGATTATAGAATTAAAAGCTCTGAAGTCTTCTGTGTCAGACACAATTTGTTTCATCTATATCAAATCACGTTCAGCATAAACGAAAAGTACTTAAGACTACTTTTGAAATGAGACTGAATGTAAATTCTGGAAAGAAAATTTTTTTCCCAACAGTCTTTCAACCTCTCACAGAAAATAATCTTAAAATATCATCATCATCATCAATCATCATCACCATAAAATATATTAAGTAGGAAGGGACCAATCAGGATCATCAAGTCCAAGTCCTGGCCCTGCACAGGACACCTCAAGACTCACACCGTGTTCCTGAGAGCAGTGTCCAAACCCTTATATACTCTGTCAGGCTTGGTGCTGTGACCACTTTCCAGGGGAGCCTGTTTCAGGACCCAAACATCCTCTGCATGAAGAACCTTTTCCCGATATCCAACCTAAACCTCCCCTGACACAACTTCAGGCCCTTTTATTGGGTCCTGTCACTGGTCACCAGAGAGAAGAGATCAGTGCCTGCCCCTCCTCTTCCACTCACAAGGAAGTTGCGACTGCAGTGAGATCTCCTTTGAGTCTCCTCCAGGCTGAACACACCAAGTGACTGGCCACTCCTCACATGGCTTCCCCTCAAGGCCCTTTGCCATCTTCATCGCCCTCCTTTAGATACTCTCTAATAGTTTAATATTTTATCTTGTGTCACACAGAGCTGCCCCCAGCACTGGAGGTGAGGCAGCCCCAGTTCAGAGCAGAGCAGGACAATCCCCTCCCTTGCCCAGCTGGCCATGCTGTGCCTGATGTGCCCCAGGACAGGGTTGTCCCTCCTGGCTGCCAGGGCACTGCTGGCTCAGATTCAGCTTGCCATTGACCAGAAGCCCCAGGTCCCTTTCCACACCACTGCTTTCCAGCATCTCATTTCTGAGTTTGTACATCCAGAGTTGTCCCATTCCAGGTGCAGAATCTGGCACTTTCCTTTGCTGAACTCATACATTCGGTGATTGCCCAGATCCCTAATTTGTCAAAGTCTCTCACCCAATAATATTTTTATCACATAGAATCAGAGGATAATTCAGATTAGAGGAGATCTCAAGTCCAATACCTTCCTTAAAGCATGACAAGCCTCATGAGTCCATTCAATCTGACTTCAAAATCCTCAAGAATGGGGAATAGATAACCTCCTCTGGAAAATGTGTTCCAGTATCTTGAGTTTCTTTGATATGAAAAGGTTTCTCCCCACTCATACAGTGAACCTCTCTTGCTTCAATTTCTGCCTGTTGATTGTCACTCCCCCACATTGTGCCACTGAGATGTGCCAGGCACTGTCTGGATGACCTTATGACCCACATAGGGGGATGCTGCTGTTTGGGGGCCCCAAAACATTCTCCTCCTTCTTAGGCTAAACAAACCCTACACTCACAGACTCTCTCTTCTGGGCAAGGGCTCCAGTCCCGGATTGTGGTCCTCCACTAAACTCACACCAGTTTACCACTGTCATTCTTGTTTTCAAGGGCCCCAAACTGAACAGAGTATCCAAATCACAGGTGTTGAGCACATGGGAATAATACCTTCGCCCCAGCTACTCACTGCACTCCTGTTGCTATAGCCCAAGATGCCATTTGCCTCCCTTGCTTCCAGGACAGATTGCTGGATCCTGTTCAACCCAATGTCCATGCCCCTTCCGTAGAGCTGCTCACTCTATCACTAGCCTGTGATCCTCATGGGGTCCCTCCTTCCCTGTCACAGGGTTTGGCATTTGTCCTTGATGAATTTCTATTAACTTCATTTTGACAGATAATTTCACGAATTATTCTTTAAACAGGAGTTTAACATTTTCCTCCTTTCTGTTTTACTGTATTACTGCAGACTCATTTTACTACACTTTAGCTAAAAAAAAAGGATCATATAAGTCAGGATAAATGTAAAATCTGTTCAAAATGGGAGATAAAGAAGTCTGTCCTGTTTCTTATGCAGAATTTCTTTTTAACTGTGTTCCACTTGACATGTGTATTTTACATTTGCTGTTGTAACTACTTTGGCTTTGACAGACCCAGAAGAATTACAGAAGCATTATACTATAAAAAACCCCAACTTTTTGTTTCTTGAGCTAGTCTGATAAGCCATGAGTCATGGTACTTTCTATGTGCATACACTTTCAACTATTTCAATATTAAACTTTTGCTATGATAATCACTATGTTATTTACTTAAAGAAAACTTTATATTAATAGTAGTAAGTACTCTGCAGGAAAAGTGAATATTAGTTTGCAACAGATACATTGAAAAGGATTGATAGGTGAGGGATGCAAGTTTGACAAGTTAATTAAGAGCAGTTTCTTTAAGTTTCAATTAATTGCATGTATCAGTGATACAAAGGGAATTTTTTGTTTTGTTGTAAAAATAATTTATTTCTGGCCAACAGCTGCCTGTCAAATTTCACAAAGAATGCTGCACTTTTCCAAAAAATGCTATAAATTACAAAACTGAATACAGTGTACAAGCCCTAAAAGGATGCTTTTCTCTGTCCTTTCAAGAAGACTATGCAATCCCAAGTGGCCATATCAATATTTAGTTTAAACATTTTTAAAAGAAATGCAAAAGCTTCAGGATTGATTTATCAAAACCAGCTATTACAGGCTGTTGAACAAAGGACATATTTTCATTTTTGAAGCTTTGGGGGTTTGGTTGGGGTTTTTTGCTACATATCACTAGCATATTGTTTTTTTGGGGTTTTTTATTTTGTTTCATTTTTGTTTTTTTACTATTTATTGCCTTTTAATTAAGAAAATTCACCCTGGAGATACAAATAAAATCAAGAAACATTGTCATTACAAATCTTGCAAGAAAACTAAGGCAACTTTCATTGGAAACTACCTGTGTTCGTTTTGCTCTTTGAGTATCTATTCAATATTAAGTATGTTTCCCTGCTCACCTTTTCTTTACATCTCCCTCAAAAACAACTAAATATCAGACTTCATCTTCAGGAATTATACAGCAGATATATGGTTTAATTAGAATATTCATAGTCCCCACATATAATGAAATGTGTTTATGATGGACTGAACTTGCTCTGCTGCCAGATGCCCATCCAGCAGCTGTCTTACTCCCCTTCTTCAGCAGGACAGGTGGAGAAAATTAGAAAGGATAAAGACAAGGAGGTCAGCTATCAATTACTGCCACAGGAAAAACAGGCTAGAAGAAGACATCAAGAAACAAAGACAAAAATAGAACCATCTACTCCTCACTTCTACCTTCTTCCCAGGCTTACCTTTACCCCTAACTTCTTTACCCTTGACTCCTTTACCCTCTCCTCACCAAGCAGTGTAAGGGATGGGGAATGGCATCTATGGTCAGTCCATAACAGCTTCTCTCTGCTGCTCCTTCCTTCTCATGCTGTTTCCTGCTCCAGCCTGGGTCTTCTTCATGGGCTGCAGATCCTCATGGACTGCTCCAGTTTTGGCTACTCACCTGTGCTGCCATTCCTTCAGGATGAGACTGCTGCAGCATGGGGTCCTGTGCATGTGAGTTGATGAGCTGCAGTGTGGATTTCTCTCCCCTGTGAGCTGCCGGGGGTCAACCTCCATCACCATAGTTTTCTCTAAGAACTGAAGGAGAGTCTCTGCTGGGACTCCTGGAGCACCTCCTCCCCTCCTGCTGCTCTTCCCTCAAGGCTCTCAGGGCTGTTTCTCTCATATTTTTCCTCACCCCCTCACTGCCAGGGAGCATTTTGGCCTTTCTTACACACATTACTTCTGAAGCACCACCACCTTGGCTTCCAAGGGCTTAGCCAAGGGCTGTGGTGGGGCCATTGGATTCCTCTAAAATGGGCAATGGTCAGCAAAGGGCAGCCTTGGCTGCTTATCACAGAGATCCCTGCAGCACCCCCTGCCAGCACCTGGGCACCCACACCCGGTACAGCATGGCCCAGACAGAATCAAACTCCTTGGTCACCCTCTGGTGTCCTATGATTCCTCCTGGTCATTCAGAGGGGTCTCTTTTTCCATCTTTCCAGTGTAGCCCACTGTTGCCGCTGAAGATGAATAGATCACACAGACACAGGTCGAGGTGTGGTGAAAGGAAGAGAGCAGAGTTTATTTTTCCTCCCAGGATTTATAGGCTTCTGACCACGGCCAGGGATTGGATGGTCAGGATAACACTTTCTCACTGCACTGGCCATGAGAGATGGCCATCACAGGACGTGTAACAGAAAGAATGTACACATATCTATGTAACTGTCCTGGGAAAGTCCTTAGAAAACCATGTCAGCAAGCTCAGAAGCTGAGTTTTCAGGGTGATGGCCCACCTCTAAGGGGAAATCTGAAACCATAAAGACCTTACCAGTTTTGACACATCTCACCTGTTACAGCCAGAAACATTCAATACCTTGTTCTTCCATAGTCTGAGGTTCAAATACTGATTCCCATACACCAGCAGAGCATGGCAACACACTTGCTCACCTGCAGAAGCTGTCCCCTGGGATTATTTCCCTGTACAGACAAGTTAGGCACATGGAAATTATATGGTTGAAGGTGGAATTTGTCTATCATGCTGGTGATAGCATGCCTTCTTCACAGAAGTATACCTAAGGCTTTTGTACATGAACCATTACACTTACTTAATTTTCTTGAAGCACAGCACAGTGCAGGTCCATTTACTTATCAAGTAAAACATTTTTTAAATCTTTAAATCTAAAAAATTACTTGAAAAACACAAGAAATATTTTAACTACAAGCAACTAACATAAGACAAGGTGAATTTTGCATGTCAACACTCTGTCTATTTTAATTAATGAAATTAAAATGAGAAGCAAGGAAATATTTTAACTTAACCTTCTAAAGCTGTTTAACCCTGTGATATCACTTAAGGCAGAGGATAACCTGCCATGAGAGGTCATATCACTGAAGTACTGTATTTACAGGATGAGGAGACAAGCAATTAAGGAAAAAAGCATGGAGGCCCATGCAAGTTCTCTTCCAGCAGTGCAGAGGGAACCCCAGGTCATTAAAAGATAATTTTTCTTTGATATTCTAATGTGTAATCCGTTATGCCCAAATACAACACCACGTTTCATTAGCCACAGAAAATACATCCCACACCAGAATCAAATACAATGATTGAACAGCTTTAGATGTTCAGTAAATTGACAACTGTGCACCACAATTCTGGTACGTCAAACCCCACACTACATAAAACTGCAATATTTATCTCCAAAACCATAACTGTCTAAACATTTACATCAAGTTTCTTCCATAAAACACACATTGAAAGTTTAGAAATGTTGACTGAATCATTTCCTGTGACTCAGTGATTTGCTATTGCATCTGTGCAGAACGCCAAGAGCTGTTTTTAGCTTGACAATTTTACAATTCAGTGGAATGCTAATGGTCTCTTAAATTTCATATAAAACAGCTACTTATCGCATCCTTAATCTCTTATCAGATATTATCTAGAGTAAAAAACTCAAGGTCAGATTATAACCATGGAGAGAAGAAACCAGAAATTCTCCTATGCAGCCAATCTCAGATTAAAGATTAGCAAGGCTGTATGCCAGCTATTTCCTGTGACTGATCGGATATCTAGAGAACCATTACACTGTTCCACTGCCATATATTACCCAGCGTACATGACAAGAAGAGGGAGGATGCTGCTGCAGCTAAAAGTTGTAAACTTGCTCCTAGTAGCAGCCAAAAGTAGTTTACCATGCCCTGAGGTCACCCTTAGAGCAGTCCATAGAGATACAGTCTGTGGCAACCATCTCTTCAAAGCAATTACACCATGGTGAATCCTAACCAATCTAAAGGTGGTATGAAACATGGAAAATCCCACATCTGTCCTTAAATCTCATGGGATATTTTCTGTGGCTTTGTAGTATGGAACCTCTACTTTTTTAACAGGTTCCACATCCTCCACTAACTTATTCCATAACTACAGAAATTAAAAGAACTCAGTGCATGTCTGTATAAAATTCATATGAAAAGAGTGAAACTGAATATCCACACTGTGCTGGCACATGGACAGAGTAAACAAACTGGAAAGGGAGAAAGAAAGAGAGGGAGAAAGAGAGGGAGAGGGAGAGAGAGGGAGAGAGAGAGAGAGAGAGAGAGAGAGAGAGAGAAGGAAAGAAGGAAAGAAGGAAAGAAGGAAAGAAGGAAAGAGAGAGAAAGAGAGAAAGAGAGAAAGAAAGAGAGAAAGAGAGAGAGAAAGAGAAAGAGAGAAAGAAAGAGAGAAAGAGAGAGAGAGAAAGAGAGAGAAAAGAGAGAGAAAAGAGAGAGAAAAGAGAGAGAAAAGAGAGAGAAAATAGAGAAAAGAGAGAGAAAAGAGAGAGAAAAGAGAGAGAAAAGAGAGAGAAAAGAGAGAGAAAAGAGAGAGAAAAGAGAGAAAAGAGAGAGAAAAGAGAGAGAAAAGAGAGAGAAAAGAGAGAGAAAAGAGAGAAAAGAGAGAAAATAAAGAGAGAAAAGAAAGAGAGAGAGAAAAGAGAGAAAAGAAAGAGAGAAAAGAAAGAGAGAAAAAGATCCTTTTCTTCTCACACCTCTTTCCAACCCTTCTACTTACTCCAAGTGTAAGTTTAAAGTAAGCTTTAAAAGTAGGTTTAAAAATATTGTCATCTTGATTTCTTTTAATTTACATTTCTCCATCAACACCTTTTCAAAGATACTCAGGTTTCAGAATGCACTGTTTGTTTGTATTAGGAGAAGCTCTTTCTGTGTGATTGCTTAAAGCAGATAGGATCAAGCAAATTTCATGGCTTTTGTTGAGCCTGCCTTTTAGAGCAAGTGTCTTTGAGGCACAGCCTACTGAGAACAGCTTTTCACAGGAAACAGAAGAAACTACTGTGTGCTCCAGACAAATGGGATGTTCCCCAGGCAAGAGTCATGTAATAAACACCTCAGTACTAAATTAGGAAAGAAATATGAACGTTGGTGGGTTGATCTTTGCTTTTACAAAGACAAAGGATAAAAACATCTATGGCAAAGGACCTACAAATTCCTCTAGAGCAGATTTCAGCTATAAATAAAAAACGTAAATGAATTATCTGATATATACCTGCAAACCAGGCAATATGACAAGAAAGTGTAAGGAACTGCAGAAATGTGTATCCCATTCCTTTTCTGTCACACCACACCAACAGACTAAAGCAGTAAAACCACTGTAACACGCCACATTCCCATTCCCCCCTTTTTCTCATGTTCCTCATTTTCCATGTGCGCCTTATACCTGCTTTTCCCATTCTTCATCTTCAGTTAGTGTTCTGTGTGACCTTGTTGCCCTGATCCTGATACGAGTGTCTTTGACTCTTCAGGGCCCCCAAGTCCAAGTGTTCTGGCCTCTTCTCTGCCAGTGGGGCTTCCTGCCCCTCATCCCTTCTTACTGATCGCTGCTTCAGTGTCCACTGGTAATTATTAGTAACAATTTAAAGACAAAAACTCCAGAGTCCCATCCAAAGAGCAAGCATGGTTTTGAGCTGGCATGTAGGGGGAAAAGGAACCTTGAAATACATGCATCAATGCAAAACACTACCTAAGGCCAAGGTGAAAGTGCATGCCCAAAGGTCTGAGCTGGCTGCAAAGATATATTATTCTGAATACTTTTTACTTAATGTTATTATAGACAGAACCACTCCCTGAGAGATATTCTAAAGTCTAAATGTAGGACCCTTGAATCACTAAAACTTATAGCACTAAAAAGGGTACTGCTCGTCCTGCTAAAAAGAGGTCTTATTGTTTCTGCTTTTTATTTTTATTCAATTAACACAACTTTCAAAAGAAGCAAAGTACCTAGGTAGTCTAATACTCCCAAATGTAAAATCTAGTTTTTTCCCAAGTTTCTATTACAAAGAGAAAGTTCTTCATCGGTAAAGAAAATTCTATAGTCATCAGTGAAAGGGACAGGTTTGTTCTGGCCAACTGAGTGTTGAAGCTGTCAGTCATTCAAGTAAATTTGTTCACTGAAAACAAAAATTCAGACTTATAAAAATATATTACTTGACTTTGCTCTTCCTAGTGGGCCCTGAACCACATAAAATTCTCTCTGTCCTTAATTATTTTGTCTGAATTTAGGAGAATGATCCTATATTTAGCTGTTAGTGTATAAACCTCATGAGTCTCAGGCTGAAATTGTTGGTTGATACTTGACCTGTGTTTCCCTATTAGTCATTGCTTCTAAAGACCATTGTATTTATGGCCCATCTCTTCTTGCTCTAATCTGAATGGCCACAGGAACAAAGCACTGGGTAAAGCAGTGAAGCTCACACCACATTTTAAATCGGAGTTCCATATGCTTGACATTCAGTATTTTGTTTGCTTTTTTTTGTTGTATTTTGACATCTACTTATCCATTTTTCCCTTAGCTGGAGATTTTAATAGATGTTAAATGATTCATGTGAAAAAAAAACTACAGAAGACATGGAACATACCTCATGAAACAAGAGAAGACCAACATCTAGGTCATGGAATTCAGTGAGTTCAGAAAAAATCAGGCATGTGAAGAGCTAAAAATGCAGTATATCAGTTCCTTATGCAAGTGAAAAAAAGAGAAAAATGGCATTTGCAAAAATTAGTAAGGAAAACTTCAATTTTAATTGGAAAAATTGTTTTAAGTGGCATAAAGCCACAGCATAAGTTCAACGGGTAGATAAAGGCAATAAATATCTCCTTGCAGCTGAAAATATGAAGTCTGTGTGTCCTTTTCTTCTTTTCCTTTCTCTTTCTGTGCCCTTGTGCTCTTGTCTTTCTCTTCCCCTTCTGAAAGCCACCATAGTCCACTGTCACATTTTACAGCTGAAATTTCAGAAGACTACCCACAACATAGATGACACAAATAGGTCTTCCATTTCAGTGAATTAAATAAGCTCCTGCAGAAATACAAGAAGTCAGAGAAAGCACTAAATATATGACAGAAAAGGAAAGGGAGAGAAGGATAGAGGATCTTATCTTTTTGGTAGTGGTGAGCTGGTGTGCCTGCTCACTCTGCCTCATCAACCTAAAAAAGATACTGCTTGAGCAGAAATATCTGTGTCTTTGTCCCACACGTTCTACACCTGGTCTAGATCCTCAATTTATCTCAGCGGTGCACTAGCTATCCTGGAATTCCATCAAAAGTAGCTTATTTGCTCAGGAATCAAACTTCCTCCTATGGTTTCAGAGCACTCCATTTTGCTTTTCTAGGTGTTTGTCATTTACTCCATAATTCAGTGGATCTGTTTTCAATAACAAGGAGAGAAAACCTTCTGTCTAGGGTTCAGAAGCTCTTTTTCTGATTTTAGAGTAACGAGAACCATCTGCACTTAGACAGTCTCAAAACATCACCCTCTAAAGAAGCTTCTGTCCAATATTCATCCTGGCTTCATGGTTGAGCAGATGCACAAAGTTCCTCAGCTACCTCTCAGCTCAGAAACGGTTCTACACTCAGCTCCACGTTTGCAAAAGAGATCTGGGAAAAATGTTCTTTGTCTGAAAGTTATTGTTCCTTGGGGGTGGTAGAGCATGCTCCTTCTGCAAGACAGAATAGACTCCGAGGCCCCCCATGGTACACAGCAGCTTCCAGGGAATCTGTGATAGGCCAATACCCCCCATAAGCCTCTAAACCATCCACAATCCCCGACAGCCACCATGTCAAATGACAATAGTGCAGAATCCCCAAAAGAGTTTCAGTCTTCTGACAATGAATTAAGAACTTTATTACAATAAGTAGACTAGAATTCCCCTTAAGAAGGCATTCGCAAAGTATGGTGTAGCAGGCCAGGCTAAATGCTCTAAGGCTGGCCGGCAAAAGTCTATGAAAACTCTGTTTTCAACAGTGTCTCTTTTAAAAGGTTTGATGAGACAGCCCAGCGGTGGTACCAGAGAAAGAATGAGGCTAACAAGCATCCATCCATCAGAAACATTGGCAACTACCAACCTAAACTACTTTTCCCCCTCTCCTCCTACTCCTGCCAGTTTTTTCAGACCCCTTCTACCCCTTGGCCTGCTCTACCTCTACAGATTTAAAGCTCCAGCATGTGCACATCCTTACCAGGATTCCCCTTCTCCATCAAGGCTCTAGCTCTTCTGAGGAGCAGCAGGTTCCAGAGCCACATCAATGCTCATCTTCATGATCCTGCTGATCATGAACCCTGCTGATGTTGTCATCTCTGCCTAGAGAAAAACTCTGCCTTTTCAGTTCTTTTGGGTATTAAAAGTCACCAAAGTGGGCTTCCTTCAAGAGACCTTTCGCTAGGGTTCCAGCATGAGTAACCTTAGCCTTGGCAGCATGCCACAGCTCAGTGAAGTTTACATACTTCAGTTGAATGCAGTTGCATACAGGCTGTCTACAGACAGTGATGTCAACAGGTATTGCCCAACATTTTCCCTACTTAGTTTTATTGCCACTAGATTATCTGATTTCATCTTGCGTAAGATTTCTGTGGTTAAGAAAGAGAATGATGGATTTTTGACACCTACAAGTCTCCTGTCATTTACAAGAGGGCACTTGAAATTAAAGTGGTGGTGTTCCCTGCTGCTGACTATGCAGCATGCTGGACTATGTGACTGTCCTTTAATCGAGAGGAGCTCACACCAAAGAGCATTGCTACAGATGTCTGTCCTGCCCTCTCTTACAATCTGCTCTCTCATGGAAGGAGTGACCAGGATGTTCTGTGCTTGAAACCACACTGTGGTTTCCATAATGCCTGGATCATTACCTTAGAAACTGCTCTTAATTATGGGTATTCCTTCCAAGTACCAAAAGAGAAAAGATGCCTTTCCAAGACACATTCATTGTGGTTTAAGGATAGAAGAAGTGTTTCTACAAATTTGGATCAGCCAGTAATTGTGACACAGGTAGGTCACAGAAATGCAGTGTCATTCAGCAGATGGTGCTCAGGCTTGAGGGTATGTCTCACAGTTGGTATCACTCTGACCTCTGCTCTAAACCCAGCCTTCATTCATGGACAAGCCCAAAAACTGCTCCCATAAAGGTTATATTTCTTCCTACCATGTGCTGCTGTATTTTCTATACATTTCTGTACTGCAACCAATATGGGGAATCTTTACATAGTTGATTCGCTCATCAAAAGAAAAAATGTGATTATGGAATTACAAATGCCATGTGAGTTGTCTGACAGGAGATACAGGATCTTTGATGTTCATTTTGGATATTTTTTGAGATGGACTTACTCTAGGTTATATTTTTTTTGTGGAACTGCTACTATCAGATTTAGATGTAAGTTTGATGCCTGCCTCATGGTTTTACAAATTCTGCAATACATGTCATTAACATCTCTAAAAGAAGTAACTTTCTACAACTCCCTCCTGGATGCGCAGATGGAGAACATACCAACTTCTAATGTCTTCTTGGTCAATACAACACTTAAATCTGACCTTGACCATATCTCCAAGTGTATCCTGTTTGGAAGCGGAACAAAGCAAAGCCACTCCTCAAGTTAGTATTAGAATTTGTTTTGCTACTTCTCTGAGAATTACCATCATACCCAAAATTAGACTTGCTGCCTACTACACTTCCTCAATCATTTTAAATTTTGCCCTAGTATTCTTAAAATATGATCAGGGACACATCAGAAATTAGCAGACTTGGAAAACTAGAGACAGATCGTGTATTGAGAAGATAAATCACTGAATGGGGTTTGAAACATCAAAAAGCTTTAGCTTTTCTTAACAGTTAGAGTTTCCTATCCTTTTCCTGTGTTTGGCACTACTATATTCACCTTTCTGACTACTTCTGTACTCACCAGGACATTTTTTTGCAGACACAGGCAGGAAAACTGTCATCAAGAAGCAAGAACAATGAGAAGTACTTGCCTTATATTCTGTGAATTGTCAATAATTTCAAAGAATGTCACTGTTGAAAACTACTCCATTAGAGGTCCTGAACACCCTTGCAACAGCCTCTTTCCCTAGCACAGGACAGATAGGGAGTCCTATCATTACTGTTTCGGAAGATATTAGTCACATTACAAGTGTTCATCAGTGTAGACAACAGTAGAGAGCAGAGAAGCAGAAGCAGTTGCATCTGTGTTGTAAAAACCAGGGAGAAACTTACATAATTTTTTTTATCTGTATGATATGATAGCTGTAACCAAAAGTGTAGGACAATCTCTAGCTGCAAGCAAGCAGAGCATGGTCAATATCAGAGAAACTATGCCATGTGTGTATTTTTCTTCACTTACCAGACCCACCATCACAAATCAAAACTACACCTGCTTGCAGCTCCTCATTGTTTCAAAATTCCCTTCAACTTGCACAGCGCATGCTACTGTAAACCCTATCCACATCGAGCCACACTAATCTCATCATCCTAGTACTGCCCTTTTTCCCTACCTGATAAATATTTTGGTTTCTTCTTTGTTTTGTTGTTTGCTACCTTAATAGCTTTCATTTAATAGCCTTTCATTTAGGGCAGCAGAAATAATTTAAAAACGTGACACAAAGACATCAAAAGTTTTCTTTGTACTAATACATTTGCCTTTGAAATAAGATGTTGTGATTCAAAGTAGTCTCTTTATATTAAAATTATTCTGATATCCCTTTCTACCCCCAATAAGGTATAATCTTTTCAGCATGTGCTATGCAATATATATATATTTATGTTTATCTCATTATGGTTTTGCAATGTATTTTGAAAAGAAAAAATATATAAGTATTACTGAATCAGTATGAAGAAGTAAGAAAAATAGTCCGTAAACTACAGTCATTCTGAAGTACACCATTCTCCTAATCAAGAGCCTTGAAGTGCCAAGGCCACTCCATTTGCTGATGCTAAACAAGTAAATATACAATTTCCTTTAAGTAGGTATGAAGCTTTCCTTTTCAGAGTATTCATGTCCTCACAGGCTCCTGCCACAGGTGTTGCAACAAGTCTGTTGAAGGTTACAACTACTTCAAGTTGTAAAATACTTCTCACTTCCTTCTCTGAGTCTCTCTTCACAAATTGCAAAACAAAACCAATACACAGTCAACCAAGGATTAAGGACCTTTTAAATATTTGTATTTAATTTAAATATTTGTACTCAACAAGTAAAAACAAATACCTGTCCTATTTATTCTAATACATTTATTATGAGCAGTCTGCACTATGAAGAAATCTCTCTGACTTAACACTTTAAATTATTTACCTGTCCAGAGCAACATTACTGAGAAACCACCAAAAAAAATCAACTATATAACTTTCTTTTTATTTTTGTAGACAGCTGAAGATTTCAGTAAAGGGTGTGTTGTTTTAAGCAAAACTGTTAGGAAGCACAGGGATACCAATCTGGCATTACACTGGCACAGCTTATAGCTAAAACACAACATTGTACTAGTAATAATTGTGTTTGGAGAAGGGGAAGTTGTACTCGTTCTCCCATACTGACATAATTTGAAGCTGTAGCACTCTGAGTAAGAATGAATTCTTCTGCATGCATGCATCCTTTTTCAGATCTAGCTGTGTAGAATGAAGTTGCTACCACTCCTAGTTGCTCCTCATAGCCCATCAGGTGCTAGTTATCATTTGCAGAGCCTCACTATCAAAAAGACAAAGAGCCCTACGTCACTTACATCAGTCTCACCTGCAGGTTATCAGCTGTTTTAATCAAACATTCTAGATGGGCCTGTAGTGGATAATATAGGCACATTTATTTCCATTACAAGATTTGCCAGGGTGATGCTTCTCAGCAGCAAGATGGGAAATAAATGAAGAGATGGTATTTTAATATCCTCAGCCAGTCCAGCTATTTGCAAAGTGACTGTGACTCAGAAGAAAACAATGCCTGGTGGGTCCAGCATTTAACCCTGTTCAGCCTTCAAGGCTTCACCTCCACGGTGAACCTTTAAGATCTGAAGACAGTGACTGACAACCTCATACCTACATACTTTT